GGGGACGGCTCGAATAGACTAGACTTCTTCATTCCATTAACCTGTGCGTTCACAGGTTTATCAAGCGTTTGCAGTGCTCTCGGAATGGTTCAGTACATTCTCTGGATACAGCTCCGACACGTCATCTCGAAGACTCAATCCAAGAACACTAGAAACTGTCAGCTAACGCAGCGTCGACTCAGTTGCTCCCAGCCTGGAACCTCAAGGGAAAACGTGCTGTCTCACAGTTAACTCACTGAATCGCAGAGTTCAACTCAATTTAAGGATACTCAACTGACTCAAAGCCAATTGATCACTTCCAGGAATCGCAGCTCACTCAGAGTCAACTCAGTCAATCGCAGAATCAATTCAAGCAACGCGATTCAAACAAGCTCAATTCGACGAATCCCTCGTTACTCAACTGCGAGCCGATGTGGAATACCATTTAAAGCGGACATTAAAAGCAACACTACGAGAGACAAGAAGGGGGGTTTACAGTACTGACGAGCCTAAATTCTCCATCACTCTGTTGGAACGAGATTACCAACTCGAGTTCGATGATACGACTGTAGTACGTTATTAGTTTTGGTGCCTTGAGTCCTACGTACGGTCGAAGTGCGCTCAATATGCTGCCTCAAATCGCTGCGCCCCATTTGGATTGCCCCATTGGATACGACACGGTGATCGATCAATGGACTCAGTACGTCCACTTTCGTGGAGCCATCGGGATGTCAATTTCTCGAGAGCAATCCATGTGCTCACACACTATCTACCACGAACGGCCTCTGGTCGTCAAGAACGCCTTGAACGACACCCGCTTCAGCCACCTGGGCGTCGTCAATCAAACAGATGCCCGGTTCTACGCTGGTTTCCCGATCCGAGCGCCGGACAGCGCTATAGTCACTTGCTGCAGGATCCACGAACTCGTACTTGTACAAAGGTACTGGGCTCACCAACTGACAAAGGGATTCCGGAGCTTGTGAATGTTTACTCGGGTCATCTAAGTACAATTGGTCCGTGAGCTCCTCCACCCAGCTCGAGTCAGAATTCGTTAAAGCTGTATCTCCATCCACATCCACGTGGAACTTGTCATCGTTGTATCACAATGCGTCATTGTGCTCGATCTGTTCCAACCGCTACCGCTTATTCCGTTGCGACTTCTTCTGGCATTTGTGTGGTAACATGGTGTGTGGAGATTACTCCCAAATGTACGAGGTGGAAGCTCGTATGGGGGGAGCTTCGATGCAATCGATAATGTCTACAATGCGTACACCGTGGTGACACATGTGTGTTTGACGATGAAGGAGACTTTGGGCATGCAGTTGTATCTGTAATGTCTACAATGCGTACACCGTGGTGACACATGTGTGTTTGACGATGAAGGAGACTTTGGGCATGCAGTTGTATCTGTAATGCCGGATCGTCGTACCCCATAGGGAAGTAGATGAATGTTTGGAAACCAAAGCGACGACGACGAACGGCCCTTTCAAATTGACGGAGAGACGTTCAGGACGTGTATAGCTTCGGGGTTCATGATACTTTCACGTCTACGAGCGATATATTAAATGGGTTTTAATCCATTGCAGACATGGAGCTCATTGAATACTCCGTGGTGAATGCCACAGCGAATGCGATCTTAGCTGTCGGATCTTCGTGTAAGAACAAATGGAGCCCAGTTGTGGGATCATTGAGCAGCCTGCTAGCACCAATAACACCTAGGTAAAGTCCAATGACCAGGAAAAATGTCTCCAAACGAAGATCCATTCAGTGTTCCTGCTACGAATAAGTCCATGATGCTCCTGTCATTGTCGCAGCGTTGATGGACGTTTGAGCGTGTCCTCTAGTAGGTAGTGGCTCTCTCCGGGTAACTTTCCCACGACGGTTCCAGAGGTCGGCTTTCTAGTGCAGTCTCGTGCCCCGTCATTCCACGACATCATCGACCAGATACATCACCTCTTTACCCACCACTGGACTTTGAAAAGCGCTGTCACGTCATTTGGAAATTGATGCAAAGCCGAATGCTGTTCCGGCGATTGAAGCGAACTGGGTGGATGTGGACTATGGGCTGAAGACGATCGTACTTGCTGTGTGGAGCTTGGCATTCATCGGATGAGTCGAAACAGATCTTGCGTAGATCCTGGGTGTATATCTATTGTGTGCCACGTTCTGGGTGATTGAAGTCGATGTCGCGAGTGTGGTGTGCACAGTGGTCGACGTGGTAAGAGCCTAAGCTCCCAGAAGTACATGAAGGTGGTAGCAGCTCCAGCAACTGCGCTACGTTTCCTTGTTCAGTTATTTCCTATCGTTGCTCCATGAAATTGACAGCAGTACAAATGGATTGCAGATAACTTTTCGGAACACGGCGACTCCACTGGGAACTATTGCGTGTCTTGCAGTTCCGCTCGTGTGTGTCATTCAGAGTCATGTGCCGAGACCACTCCTGTTCTTCTGATTAACATACCACTTGCCTTTCGGATGGCTTCTCAAGACGACGCTAACGCTGCTGGACATCTTTGAGCTGTGCTGGAATCTCCGGTGCAGCAATTGGCAAGCGTCACAAAGAGCACGAAGACCTTCCTTGGCGCCTTTGGTGAACTGTTTCCAGTATTGTCGACGCTCAGCAGCCTCGCGCAGGCGACGCTGCCAATTATTCTGATGTGGATGGCCGACACCATTGGAGAACGTGCTATCGATTACATGACCAGGAACTAATGTTTCACTGGCAACCAAAGTGATAGAAGACAAACACAAAACATCATTTTTCAACCATATATCCGCGAGAGATTAATGCGCGTTGCCTGGGCGATAGATTCTGATGGGATCAATGGTTCACTGTACTGAACTAGTCAGTGAGCTAAAGATGAGCATGAACATCGCCTGATGTCTTGTTGAAATCCAGAACGCTTGTAGCTCCGATATCGCTGTCACAGCATCATCTCCAAGCCTGGCACGACGAGAACTAATAGTTGCACCCGACGCAGAGAATGCCTCTTCACTTGGGACTGATGTTGCCATAATTGCCAAATAATTGCGCGCCATCATCTGAATCCGCGGAAATGAAGCGGCTTCATTCTTCATCCAGTTGCAAACAGCTCGACTTCCTGTCTTCAGGTTCATGGATCTGTCCTTGTGTTCCAACCACCGCTGTAGCTCCGACACGAACGACTCATTTGTGTTGTTGACCGGTTCGTGTAAATCCAAATGCTCATCAATGAGACCATATAATGCTTCTTCGTCATCGTCTTCTTCTTTCTCCTCCTGCGTTCTCTCAGCCTCGGCGATGCCCACAGTTCGTTCGTATTTACTGCGATACACAGATTCATATTCGTTCTCAACAAGGCGCTTGGCCTGCTCGATATCACCGTCGATCATCACAATGTGTTCCTTAGCTCGAGGATCAAGAACGGCAGCAATCCTTGCCTCGCGAGTCTTCACCAACGGGAGGTACTCATCCAACTTTGTTTTAAAGGCACGTGCAAAGTCCCTAGTGTACCACGACTCGGCATTCTGCATTATCTTTGACGCATGCTTCGAGATCAAATGGAAGACAACAAGTGTTACACCGAATGTGGGGTAATTTTTTTCCAGACATCATAGTAGTTGCTGCTTTGATCGGCTTCAAGAACGCCGTAAACTCGGTCAAGTAACTCCACGTAGTCTCCGAAATGGGGGAGGCAAGACGATGTGTATGACCAATTGACAAGTCTCTGTATCCTTCATGGCGCTCGCGGATTCTACGCAGCAGTTCTTCGATCGCCTTTTGTAATGCACGAGCTGAAGCCAGCATAGTCAAAGTGCTGTTCCATCTTGTGACGCAATCGAGTTCTGGAGAAACATACTTGATACTAACAGCGGCACACACTCCTTGCAAAGCTTCTAGCAAAGACGGTGAGTCCGATATCTTCTTCAAAATGTCGCGAATACTTCCAACGCTATCATCCATTAAGGGGCACGCTTTCATTCCTTCTCTCACAGCAAGTTGAAGCACATGAGCGAGACAACGAACTTGTATCACCTTCAGCTGAGAACTTCTGCCTTCCTCACCAGCTATATGTACCCCCGTCGTGGTAGAAGCCGCGGTTGTTTGTTCGTTGGTAAACACCTCGTCAGCAAGTGTCTCGTTAATTTTTCTGACCATGGTCCCATTGTTAGTCGCATTATCTGCAGTAATTGCCCACAGCTTCGAGATAAGAGATTCATCCATTGCCCTCAGTGTATCCATTAAATGATCGGCAAGCCGGACGCCACTATGAGGATACTCCACCCGTGTGAATCCAACCACTACGGACTTGATAGCCCATTCGTCATTGATCCAGTGTAACGTCACGACCATATACCCTTTTTGAGCCGCCGACGTCCACATGTCGGTTGTGGCAGACACACGACACGACGCAATTTCTTGCAGCATTGTGTGGCCGGGCCAGTTCCTTTTCACATGTCCAGCGTTGTA